ACAAGGGCCTGAGTTCAATCCCAGGTTCCACAAAAATAAATAAATAAATAAATAAATAAATAAATAAATAAAATAAAGGGACAGTGAGCAGGAACTATGAAGGTGAACCAGAGGAAACAGAATCATTTCCGCTAGAGAAGAAGGTCATGGATTTTCTATTTCACCCAAGTCAAAGCTGATAGCAGGAAAACTTCCCCAAAGTAAAGGTTATGAGCCAGGAGTATATTAAATGACCAGTGGGGAAGAGTGGAGTCCTCTAGACCCTGCTTGTTTGGGCAGGGAATGGCTGTTCTCTTTCTGGAGGAGTGGCTAACTGAGGTGACTGCACAGGGGGCCAGGACAGGACTGGATTCAGCCTCCTCCTAGGAAGATGTTGGGCAGAAGATTGCTTCTCGCTGTATCTTTTAAATTATAGCCCTTGCCCTGTCCCCCACATCTGGTGCCTCTCCACAGTTTCCCTTACCACTCTCTGAAGGCTCGTAGCGGTTAATGAGTTCCAAAGCAAGATCAGGAGCACAGCCTTTTTCTTTCTGCTCTATCTGAAGGAAATCCACAAATTCCAGGAGGGTCAACTTCTGCCCATCAGCCGAAAAGTTTTCAAAGAGTTCCTGTACCTCATTACGCTTAGTCAGTGCCTTATAGAACTGTACAAATTCTTCTCCTTCCAGAGTCCCAGACTGGGAGATGTCTGCTGTCTACAAAAGGTTACAGGAGAGCAGATAGACACTTTAAAGGCAAATTTTGTGACTTTCACCAGCCCTGTAAGGGCAACCTTATTGATAAATTCAAACATTCTTCCATAAAATGCCTCCAGAACTCCTGACATTTAGTGTTCATAGATGAAGCCACTTCAGTAAGTTAAAAGCAAAGTTTCTGCCATATCATTTGCTACAAAAGAAAATTTTGTATCTCCTAAAGGTCCCCAAAAGGTCAGAAGAAACTCCCTCCTATTTATTCACATTCCTGCGAGGGCTTCGTACTATGTACCTGCAAAGTTGTGGCCAGGAACAGAAAGCTAAGCTCCTGGAGGTCCAGCACAACAACATATTGCTATCTATTTTTCATAGATTTACAATTCATCTTTCTAACAAGACTGGCAAGAATCATTTTCCAATCATTTTCCCATTTTGCCTGTCATAGTGCTCAAAGACACAGCAGGGATTCAACAAATGAATGTTCCTGATAAAGGTCAAAAGCCATCTGGCTCCCCCAGAAGACTTACCTGGAAAAGGTTAAAAGCATATTCTTGGTCCATCTCCACATTCATTAGGTGCAACAGCCGCTGAATTTCTTCAAAACTCATCCGACCATCCTGGTTTTTGTCTCCACGCTGGAACCAGTCACTCAGCCATCTAACTCTGAGTCAAGGCAAAAGCACTGTGTGTGTGTGTGTGTGTGTGTGTGTGTGTGTGTGTGTGTGTGTGTTAACTCATTCATACCTCTTCCCTTCTTGTCTAGTCTCTCTCCCATGTCAATCCATTCTCCACAGAACTTCTACAATAATCTCTCCCAAGCACGAATCTATCTCTCTACAGCATGGCCCAGGCATATGCAGATTTCCTGCAGCAGATCTCCCTGTTTGCAGAAAGACATCCAATTTTCATAAGACAGAATTAAAATCTTCACTCTGTGATATGGTGCAATCCAGCATTCTTGTATCTAGCATCCCTACTTTCTTTCTTTCTTTTTTTTAATGTCCCTACTTTCTGATGTCCCACTCTGTCCTGGTCTTCAGTCTCCTACCTCTGGATTTCACTTTTCTCTTTCTGTTCAAATATTACTTCATCTTTCTTTTTTTTATTTTATTCTTATTTTAATTATCTTTCCTTTTTTGTACCAGGAATTGAACTCAGGACCTTGTGCTTGCCAGGCAGGCACATAAGCCACTGAGCTCTCTCCAGCCCTACTTCATCTTAAGGCAGGCTGTTATGCTATTTCTCCCCTGAAGCTTTCTCAGAGCACTATAAATTATTTTTCTTCCTTTGAATGTATACAAATAATCTAATTATTGTAATATTCCTTTGGTACTTAGATCACACAATTCCATCCTTTCCACTAAGGTGATTTCTGTGTCTAATTAATCTTTTTATTCTAAAACTTGGCATGTTGCTTGGTACATCCTGCTTTGTGGTGATGAATGAAGTAACATACAATCTAGGAATCCTGAAGTGCTATACCACAGAGCTCTCTAAGGAGTTGCTTCCTGTCTCTGTGGCAGTTAATACACCAGGATCTTCTGTTCAGCTCTCAGCAGCAGCAGTCCATCTGTCTGCCTATTCATGCCCAAACTCTACCTGGCTGTATCTTTGCCCTCCCTGGCATCCATTTCTTCCTTAGAACCCTTAGTGATACATCAGCCTGAGGTCTTTTCCATCTTCCCTAGTGCTGCAGCGCTTGGCTCCTTAAGGCATTCATTCCCTACCCTGACTCTACATCTCATTGATACTGGTCTAGCCGCTCTTGTTGGTCCATGCTGGTAACAAGGTCCACCAACAGCTGGAGTCCTCGCATCCAAGTTTGCGCATCCTCAGCACTGTTAGCTACCAAGTCCAGATTGGAGCGACGACCATGGAAGACAACAGTGAAGCCCTGTTCCAGTGGGAACTCCTCTGCCAGACTGCGCAGCAACTCAGAATCATGGCCCTTCCGCACTGTCTCAACATCAGAGACCGAGACTGTCAGAGAAGAAGTGGGTGGGAATATTAAGGAAGGGAATCCAACAAATCACAGCAAAGACGAGCAGCACACTCTTCTCCATGAAGATATACAGAGTTGGAACCCTAAATTCTATAGGAAGAGTCCTAAAAGGCATTAGTGCATGGAGATGCAGACTTCTGGATCTCAGGAGTCAACAGTCATTACTGTTCTCATAGGCACTATGGCAAGGGGCCTGTGCTAGAAGTGCTTAGATGTGGCTTCCAGCCACCAGCTGGCAATCTGACAACAGAACAAAAGAACTTGAATCCCTGTTGTCCTTGTCTTAGGCAATGGATATCTCCCTTCCAGGGCTAGTCTCAATAGTGATCACAATAGAACTGGTAGAGATGACAAATTGAAACGCATTTGGAGAGTAGAAGCAATTATATGCTCAAAGAAGGCAGCATATGTTCAAATCAAGCTTGAGGGTTTTTTCTTTCCAAATGTCTCGGAAGGAGCCAGAGAAATTCTACTTCTTACCTCTACTGGGAGTGGGTTAAAATATGACCTTTGGATATGTGTGTAAAGCAGACTCTCTAAGATTCTATTTGTGATCAGATTTTTAATTTTAATTTTGTTTTGTTTTGTTTTTGTTGTGTTTTTGAGACAGTCTCACTAGCTAATTCAGACTAACCTCTTATTTGTGGTGATCCTCCTGCCTCAGCCTCTCAAAGACTGGGATTCCAGTGATGCACCACCACACATACTGGCTATGAGATGTTTAAAGATATCATAGTTTGGGGGCTGGAGAGATGGCTCAGTGGTCTAAAGCACCTACTTGAAACAAGCTTGACAAAGCACAGGGACCGCGGTTTGATCCCCCAGCACCACATGCCAGCCAGCCGCGCCCCCTGGTGGGCTGAGCTGGCCACACACACACACACACACACACACACACACACACACACACAATAAATAAATGTAAAAAAAAAAAAAGATATCATAGTTTGGTCAACAGAATCTACTGTTTTGATATGTTTTTGAATGGCTAACTTTGATTAATCAGATTCTGTTTTAGGTGCCACATACATTATTTCATTCAATCTCTGTAACCTACTAGGCAGATAGTGATTAATCTGATGATAGAGCAAAAAAGTGGCAAAGCCAGAGCTTTAATTCAGCAGATTGATGTCTGAGATAATGGTCTTATTTGTTTGTTTGGTTATGGTTGTATAATAAGAACACCAGCAACAACCAAAAATAAGATTTAACCAATGAGTCAGTAGTTGTGGTAAACACCTCTAATCCCAGCCCTCTGGGAACCTGAGGAGGAGCCTAACCTGGGTGACTTAGTGAGATCCTGTCTCCAAAAACATTAAAAGGGCATGGGACTGACTGTGGAGGATATTGGTACATACTTATAATCTCAGCACTGAGGAGGCTGAGGCAGGAAGATCACTGTGAGTTGGAGGTCTGCCTGAACTACATAGTCTTTAAAAACAAAAACAAACAAAAAAAATCTGGGGGGCTGGGAAGATGGCTCAGTGGAATAAGTGCTTCCCTGGCAAGTGCAAGGGTCTGAGTTCAATCCCCAGTTCCACCAAAAACAAACAAACAAACAAAAAAAAATGAGCTGGGGGTATAGTTGAGTTTCTAATTCACTCTCCAGGAAAACACATACACACACACATTTTCTTCTATGACTTGAGCTTTATTATGTGCCAGCACTCATCTAAATTCCTTATATGGAAAAACAAATTTAATCCTCACAACAGCCCTACAAAGACACATTATGATCTGGTTATGATCTGTATGGGCTCAGACACAGCCACAAAGGGCATGAGATCAGTGGAATCCTGGTCCCTCCCCTGCCCTCAGGCTGCCAGGCTCCTCAGGGACCTACTCGCCCATGTGCCCACCCTAGTCCTCCAGGTCACTCACAGCTGGGCTTCTCACTGCCCCCGGCCTGCCGTGAATGCCAGACTGTCATGCCATCATTCTGAAGTCTGAAGTATCTTAGCTTCTTCCAGCTTTTGGACCTCACCTTGCGGATCAGCATGCCTTCTTGCATCAGCAGCAGATCCTGATCAGTAGTCAGCTCTGTGCCAGAAAAAGCAGAGACTAGGGAGCTAGCAGGAAGGGTAGAGGGCCCAGAGGAGCCCTGGAATCCAGGTCCAGCCCTCTTCCCTTCCCTGGACTGCCCCAAACCTTCCTCTGCAAGGTTACTCACGGTCCTGTATCAGGGATGCCATCACCCCTCGCTCTACTAGCTGGTGCCAGAGTCACCTGAAGGAACAAGGAGGAGCAAAGAGCGTGTGTGAATGTTGGAGATCTAAGAAGCAAGAGAAAGAGGCTGACATTTTCTTACTCTATACAGTATGTAGCTATTTTTACTTCTACTTTGAGTTTGTGACTCTGAGGTTTAGGGAGGTTAAGATACTTGCCTCAAATGACATAAGGATTAGAATTTAAACCCAGATATGTGTGATTCCAGAGCCTCTGTTGTTTTCCATGGCTAATTAGAGGCCTAAACCGTCCATCTGCCAAATACCCTCTTGTTACGCGTTACCCTACAATCTATTAGGCAACTCTTTTTTTTTTTAATTTTTATTTTTTTTATTTTTCAACAAATAATACACTGCATATATTCTTCTTAGTGGTTAATTGCTGTACAAGATGCGGACTTGTGATCCTATTTACAAACACCATTAGAACAAATCATTCTATTCATTAACAGAATGTAACTATATATCTATCCCAACCACTTTGAATACATAGATACAAAATGGACATTCATCTGTATACCCCATTTTTTCTAAGTTCCGTTATTGAATATTATAGGTGTGTAAACTCAGCAAAATATTCTAAAAGAGTCCAGTAGCCCATAATAGCATTGGGTCTTCTGTTTAACTGGCAATGTCAGAAATTATTGACCTGAGTCCCCCACAGCTCAACTTAACAGCATGGCTTTATTTCTTATAATTTCGTCTTCATACTTTTCTGCTGGATGGTTAAGACCAAGGTAAAGCAGGACCTGTGCAACAAGAGTTGGAGCTTTTTGGTCTGAGAAGGTCAGTGAAATGCCCTCAGGATTTGTCCTGAGATCCTGTACCTCAGATTGTAGAACCTTTATCAGTGCAGCCATGTGGATGAGTCACGGCCAATGCTTGGCCAATGTGCTCTCTGTGAAAGCCTGAGAGAGTATCTTCTCCCCATGTGACTCTCCTTAGGCCCACTCTATGTCATCGATCACTTTCCTCTTTGGCCCCATAATCTTCTTGATCAGAAAATTTGGGACACTACCGAGGTACATGACGTTACAGTACAAGTTCTCATATGTCCTGAGTCTTGGGCAACTCTTCCATAACGAGTTTGCTCTTCATCTCTTTATTCAGAACTACCATTTTGTTAGGCAGCCCCTTTCAGAACTTGGAATTTCTCCACACCTTAGCTTTCTCTTTTCCAGGTGGAATCATCCCAGCTTCCCTCTTCTGGGACCCTTGTCCATGAGCCCATGTGGATTTTCCAGCTCTGAAGGGGTAGGGAGGCCTGAAGGGCTGGACAACAGTATGTGAGTCTCTTCTACAACACCTAATTATATTCTTTTGTGTTTCCATGATGAAACATATTTTCTATTCTTTTTCCTCTTCTCCTCCTCTTGTGTGGTGCTGAGGATCAAACCTGGGGTCTTATACATGCTGAACAAGTACCCTGTCACTGAGCTAGACCCACAGCCTTATATTCTTCATAACAGTTATTCTCACAGGTTTGTTTGTGTGGGTGTTATTGGAGACTAAATCCAAGACCTTTGCACTGAGCTACATCTCCAGGCCCTTTTTATTTTCTTGAGACAGGTTCTCACTACCTTGCAATCTTTCTTTAGTCTCCAGAGTGCTAGGATTACAGGCATAGACCACCACAACTGATTTATTCTCATAGATTTTAATGAACCGAAAATGTTACACAAAGTTAGATAAATGATGCCATCAGTAATCCCAGAACTCTGGATGACAGAGGCAGGAGAATCACAAGTTTGAGCCCCATCTGAGCAACTTAGTAATTTCCTATCTTAAAATGAAAACTCAAAAAGAGGATGTGGCTCAGTGCAAAGACCCTTACTACTAGGAAAAATAATTACACAAATCTCAGAATTATATTTGCAAGTTAAAAAAGGATACCTTTTTAAAAATATATGCTGTCCAATTTAGAACCTAGTTAAACTATCCTAGCCTCCCATAACAAACTTTCCTTAAAGAAAACTAGAAGAGTTAATATGTGGCCACTTTGATTCTAGTTTTGCCTATTTAGTGAGCAGACATTTTGACCACATTAAGCTAGAACAAAGCTCATGAGACGTGAAACTCTCTTTGCATAAACAAAGGACTTACACTTGAATGGAAATATACTGTTTAATTAAGAAGCTTAAAATAGCTTAGCAAGGGTCCACGGAGATGGCTCAGTAGAACAAGAACTTCCCTGGCAAGTGAAGGGCCTGAGTTCAATCCTCAGTTCTGACAAAAAAAAAAAAAAAAAAAAAAAAAAAAAAAAGTTTAGTGGATTAAAGCATCTGCAAGCAGGCACAGGGGCTGGGGATCCGACCCCCGGGCCTGCCATGTCAGCCCTGCCCCTGCGGTGCACTGAGACAGCAATTGAGACTGGGTGTGGTGGTGTGCACCTGTTATCCCAACTCTTGGGAGGCTGTAAACAGGCAGATCACTATGAGTCCAATCTAGTAGTGAGACCCTGAACACCCTGTAGATGCTTCTCTAAAATACAAAAAAAAAAGGGCCGGGGAGATGGCTCAGCAGGATAAGCGCTTAACTGGCAAACGCAAGGATCTGAGTTCAATCCCTGGTTCTGAAAAAAAAATAAAAATAAAAAAAAATAAAATACAAAAAAAAAAATCGATAGTGGAGAATATCTTAAGTTTTGAGTATCTGAAAAGCAATCATTTAGTATTCCATGAAAACAGTTATAGTTAACTTCTGCATTTTAAAATAAAAAATGTTAAGTCTGATGTGGCTTGACTGAGGTCACAGGTAGGGTATATTAGAATCCTGTCTCTCCAAAGATGGAATAAAGTCATTTAGAAGTAACTAATCCAGGGCCAGGGAGATGGCTTAGTGGAATAAGCACTTCCCTGGCAAGGGCAAAGGCCTGAGTTCACTTCCTGGTTCCACCAGTAACTAATCCTCATGCAGAATGTGAGGGTCACTGAAAACAACAGCATCCCTGACTCCAGGATCCAGATAAAGCTTTAAAAAAGGATTGCAGAATAAGAGGGTAAAGTTGGGAAGCAGTCTCTTGGCTGAGGCTGAAGATGCATGTGTGTATGTGAGACCAGAACAAACCTCTGCATAGAAAAGGGTCCAAAAGTGTTTCCTGAGCGACAACAGCAGTTCCTTTTCTGTATGGGGATGCAGAGCTTAGAACATGAGGCATACAAAAACTATGCAAACAATGACTCAGCTATCTTGGGTCTTCACGCTGTTAATAGAGCAAGGTTGGCCTGAGTCTAATATCTAATACCCCATGCCAACACTTTGTCTTTACTCCTTTCTGAACTGTGGCTCTCACCTTTGGGATACAGGAACCTGTGGTGGGCCCTTGAGCCTGCCTGACAGAAGAATGACCTCACATTATACCCATGTCCAGGAGTCTCACGATGATGACCTAAAACAGGAAACTAGAGAATAGCACTTAAATGCCTGAACATCCTTAGTTTGGAAACTACTGCTTTTTTGTTTGCTTGTTTGTTTAAGGTCTTGCTATGTAGCCTAGGTTGGCCTTAAACTCACAATTTTCCTGTCTCAGTCTCCCCCAAGTGTTAAAATTAGAGGCATGTGCTACCATCCCTGGTGGAAACTACCACCTCTTTTTTTTTTTTTTTTCTTTTTGATGGAACCTGGGATTGAACTCAGGTCCTTGCGCTTGCCAGGGAAGCGCTTATTCTACTGATCCATCTCCCTGGCCCCTACCACCTCTTAAGCTGCTCTTTGAAAATTGTTTTTCCCTTCTTTGTCAAACTCTTCCAACCCCAGGGGTTGGCCTTTTTTTTTTTTTTTTTTTTTTTGGTACCAGGAGGGGAATCAAACTCATTCGACCTTGTGCTTGCCCCATAGCTGCTCATATCACAGAGCTATATTCTTGGGGCTTAGCTTTTCAAAAATTTAATTTTGATTGAATTCCTAAATCACTGCTTTAAACCTGGATACAACTGACATGTGCCAACTTCAGTCAACTTATGGAGATACATAAGGCCAAAACTGGACTTTAGGGAGAGGGGGACCGAGGACTAGGAAGACTGGTTGACCTGCCAGAGTCACTGAGTGACAGAACTGGAACTAGAACCCAGATCTCCATAGAGTCACCTAGGAGAGTGTGCCAAGACTCTGCCTTAGAAACAGACTTCTCTAGAAAACAGGTTAAAGCGAGGCTAGGAATCCACCAGGAGCAATGACATTTCATCTCTTCGTTATTTGTGTTCTCTTCTAGCCCACCAATTGGCTTTTCTTCCCCTTTTCTTTCCTTTTCCCATCCTATCCTGATTCTTCCTCTTCCTTTCTAGCTTCTCCCTCCCAATCCTTTGTTTTCCTCTTTGCTTACTTAGGTCATCCTTTTATTCTCTTCTCATCCCCTCTCTCCATCCCCTCTTCCTTTCATTTTTCTCCTTTGTCTCCACTAATTCCCAGTATCTCTCATTCCCATCTTCTCTGAGGATCTTGAGACTATGGTCCAGGAGAGAGGTCACTTGGGTTTGGACACTCGGTAGCATGTCCCTCTGCTCAGACTCTTTTCCCTGTATCCTAGGAAACTGACCAAACAAAGTGCCCAGAGAATGAACGTAAGCAAGAACCCAAGTGTTCTAGGTTATGGTGTTTCTTCTGCTAGCTAAAAAGATAGTCACAGCTGATACAGGTATAGTGAGAAGAGAAGGAACAAAAACATTTGGGAGTAAGGGTGCTGGCAAGGGCACAGAGAATGAAAACTGACAGTAAGAGAGTTCTTAAATATTCTTTCCTGAAGACGTCTTCAAGATATAGTTACCTGTCTAATATAGATGTGAAAATACACATAAATTAGGAGTTAGCCTAGAGCTACAGAACAAGACTTGACCGTTAACTTCTAAGTGGCTTTATGTCATCTACAGTTGGACTTTGCTAGTGACACCATTGATGCCAGCTACATTACAGCAGGACTCAAGGAGTCTCATTTGTCTCTGAGGAACAAGAAGGAAGAAAATCATTTTGTCTACTCCCTTGCTACTGGAGAGGATTATGCTTAACCTGATTTGTGTAAAGGGGACAGAATGGCTCTGGTCACAGGTCATAGCCCTCAGAATGTTAAGAGTTTGAAGGCTCTTTTACAGCACATATAATCTAAAGGTTCATGGCTAAATTAGTATTTCTTGAGGAGTACATTAAAACAGAAATCCCTTGGCTGCACCATAAAATCTACCAGAGGCCAGGGCCAGGGAGATGGCTCAGTGGAATAAGTGCTTCCCTAGCAAGTGCAAGGGCCTGAGTTCAATCCCCAGTTCCGCAAAAAAAAAAAAAAAAAAAAATCTACCAGAGGCCAGGGAGATAGCTCAGTGGAATAAGTGCTTGCCTGGCTAGTACGAGGTCCTGAGTTTGATCCCTGGTACCACAAAAAAGAAAAAAAAAATCTACCAAATCAAAAATTCCAAGTATAGGGCTCAAGAATATTAATAAGCACACCTGGTACAGGTGAATCTGGGAAACCCTAAATTCTCTTATTAAAGATTAGGAAATTATAATCAAAAGTCCCACAGCACAGCACTTGGTGCATCAACAAACTACCCTGGATCTTTAAGCAGGAGAACAAGGCACAGTATTGGAACTCTGGTTCCCTTCAGGGAAGTCTCGTAATTCTTCCTCTTACTAGGAGTTCCTCACTTCGCAAGGTCTTAGCTAACCCTTGTGTGGTAATCCTCAACAATCTGTCTGTGATATATGCTAAAGCCTGTCTACTGCAATTCTTTCTCTTCCCTCACTGTGGGCAGGCTCACTCCTCTGAGGAGTGGCAAGGGTTAGCACTCCTGGCCCTGGGCAGCTAAGAGACATCGTTAGCACTTTTTTAGTGAGTCCCAGGAATTGAACTCAGGACTTTGCACTTGCCAGGCAGGTGCTATGCCACTGTGCTATATCCCCAGCCTCCAGAGACAACTTTAAAGGACTGAAACAAGATGTGTTAGTGTATAACTGTCATTGTAACACTCAGAAGGCTGAGGCAGAAGAATCACAAATTCAAGCTGAGCCTGGGCAGCTTAGAGGCTTAGCAAGACACTATTTCAAAAATTTAAATGAATTAATGAATGAATAATAAAAATGGCTGGGAATGTGGCTCAGTGAAAAGCCACTGGTTCAATTCCCAGGACCATAAAAATAAAATCTAAACAAACAATGGGTGATTGACACAAATAAGAGGAAAACTGTCAGTCAGAGGGAAACAGGAAGAAGACCCTCGCTGAGCTGTTTGGGTGGGAGAAGGATCTAGGTAACAAACTGATCAGGGTAGGTAAGTTAGCTAAAGGACAGAGGGAGAGACTCAGGCAGGTCAGAGCAGAGCGGAGAGCAGAGAGGAGGCTGGCCAGAACTGCCAGGCCCTTACCGTGTCTGTGAGCTATGTTTCCAGAGCTCTGCGATGCTCTCCACTGTGGGCTGAGGAAGCCCAGTCTGGCTTCTTTTCTCCTGTGCACTTGCTTGCTTCCTCTCCTCTCCTACTGCAGTTAGTTTCTATTACAGGCAGGGTTACAGGCAAAGGCAAGGAGAAGGGTGCGGAGAGGTGTAAGCTCTTTCCTTAGTCCAGCCCATCCAGCTCTTAAAGGCCCAGGACGCTGTCCATGTGGGGGTGGCAGGGCAGGAGAAGGGGATTAAGGGGAGGGATTGTCTGACGATGAATCTCCACAGAGAAGCCTGGTGGCCCTTTATCTTGATGCCCACCCTCCCCCACAGCCCCAGCTGACCCCAATCCTGCAGTAGCACTCAAAGCGAAACTCAAGGAGTGTCTGAACTGCAGTGCTCCATGAATCACTGCTTTTCATTCTGGTGGGTCTCTGCATGTAGAATGGCTGGTTTTGCTCTCATTTCATCTGGCTGCTTTCCACAGTGTCTGTTTCAGCATGCTCATGTGTATCTGCATCCTGCCTTGGCAGGCATTCAGTGGCACAGCAAAGGAAGAAAGTAGGATGGGAAAGGAGGAAGATAAGGAGAAAGGGAGGGAGGAATGGTGATACAGTGTCAAGGGTCAGTCTCTATGAACTTATATAGGGATTGCTTAAATATTGAAGAGTGTACACATGAATGTGAAATAACTCATCCCCCCTTACACTGATTCATTACTTCTACAAGCATTTGTTCAGTGTTAGGACATGCATCTATGTTTTACAGAGCAGGAGTAGAGATGAAGTAAGTTCATGGCGTGTAAGAATCCAGAATGGAGGAAGTACAGAAAATAATGAGCCCCTCACAAGGGTGACTGACAGGACAGCAGGTACACAAACAAAGATCAAGGAAAGGGGGCCATATTAGGAGAGGAATAGGGGATTATAAAGAGTTTACTGTATCATGATCCCATACTTCACAATGAGAGACTGAGGTGCAGGAAAGTGTAGACTCACAAGTGTCCACAGCAGAACATCCAGCTTCTTAACACTCTCATAGCTTTGAAGGCTGGATTTGCTTTTGCTCTGCTTTGGGAAAGTTTTGTGGTGTGGCTCTTTCTTGACCAGGGAATAACAGGCAGTTGAGGCACAAGGCACAGCTCTGAGTAGAGCTTCTGTAGAATCCTTAGAAATGTTTTTCTGTAAGGTACATTTTAACCATAGGCACAGAGTGAACCAGCTGTGTTAAATGATTTTAAGTGTGCTAAGATCTGGCTGGCTCTCATGGTCCCCACCCTGCAACATCCCTCTGCTGCCTAATATGTTACCATTAGTGGTTATTCATAGCTCAATTTTTAGGTCCCTCAAAATAAAATCTTACTAGATGATGACCATAGATAAGGAAATATTTGACAGGATGGGGACATATACCTGGCTTTTGGAATAGCTGGCCAAGTTGTTTCAAGTCCTGAGGGCTAACAGAGTTCTTCACTATATAATAATTTACTAAGTTATAATCTCTGTAGTTTTCTGTATCTGTGCTATATTTTACAATGAAAGGACTTAAAACTTTTGCATCTAGAAATTTTTGAAACCTTAACTTTTTTTTCTTTTCTTTCTTTTTTTTTTTTTAAGATAGAGTCTCACTTTGTAGTACAGGTTGGCCTTAAACCTGCTGCAGTCCTCCTGCCTCATCCTCCTGAATATCCAAATGCTGAGATTATAGGCAGGCATATGCCACTGTGCCTAGCATTAATGCTCTTAAAAAATTTTTACCTAGATTAGATTAACCATACTCTTCCATTGTTTTTTGAAACAGGATCTCACTATGTAATTCAGACTGGCCTTGAACTCATTACATAGCCCAGGGTGGCTTTGAACTCACAGTGATTCTCCTGTCTTAGCCTCACAAGTACTGTGATTACAGGTGCCTGCCACCTTGCCTGGCTACTGAAAGCAGGCTTTGATAGGTGAAGAGAAGAGTATAAAAGGAAGGGAATCATTACAAGTTAGGTGGACATTCATTGGGAATAGGAAGAGTAGGGAGAGCACTGATATGTAAATGATGATTTCAGACTCCACATTAACAGCAGTCCTGGCTCATGTGCTTGTCTAGCTATCCCATTTCTACCCACCTGACAGCATCATCTCATCATCTCCTTTTTTTCTGAGCTTCATCCTGACATTCCTTGTACCCCCTGCCTTTTTTTTTTTTTTTTTTTTTTTTCCAGTGCCATGCTGATTTTGTCACAGTAACTTTGTAGCCCATGTCAAACTTGCAAAGATCCTAACAATCCTCCTGCCCCAGTCTCCCAAGTGCTAGGAATACAGGCATGGGCCACCACACCTAGCTGTTTTTTTTTTTTTAATTATTATTATCTAAATAAAATACAAATAGTAATAAAAAAAATTAGAAACCCCACTCCTCTTTTAACTCCAAGGCTATATGTATTTGCTTCTCCCTGAATCCTATCAGCTCAATGCTGCCAAACCTTTCCTTTGGAGTGATCTGTCAAAGCTGTTAGCGCTTATTCTGGCCTTAACAGGAGTGCATATCTCAAATGTTACAGTCTGTTTCAGCGTTCTCACCCTACTACTTCTCAGTGGGGTGAGGATTTGAAGACTTTAACAAGGTTAGTATGGCTTCAAAGAGTGTCCATCTTCTGAAGAACTCTCATTAGATCCAAAGGAAGCAGACAGGGCCTCAGGCAGAGGAACTGGCCATCTGGTTTGGTAATCCCTATTTCTGCAGAACTCCTGGCCCTTCCCCCTCAGCTGCCTATTATTAACAGATCCAGAAATTTAATCAGGGCATCAGCAGCAGAGGGACTTTCTGGGAACTGTGCCCAGGAAAGGTCTAGAAGTCTAAATTAAAATGAAGCAGCAGCTGTACTGAGAGTACTAGAGACCTAACCACAATACTCTCACACTGCCACCCAGCCTACCTAGGCCCTCCTCACCCAGGGCCACATTAGAGCCCTCTGTTTTTTCAGGATAATCAGGCCAGCAAATCTGAGCTCAGTTCCCCAGGTTATTCAGCCAAATTACTTAAACTTCTGAAATAAAGCATCATCCTGGTGGCCAAAAAGGCAACTAAAAACTATTCCCTCTAAGAATCATAAATATGAGAGCTTCATAGAATTAAAAGCTAGGATATATAATGTCAAGAAACCAGAGAATAGGGGCTGGTGAGATGGCTCAGTGGTCTAAAGCACCTACTCAGAACAAGCTTAGCAAAGCACAGGGACCACGGTTCAATCCCCTAGCACCACATGCCAGCCAGCCCTGCCCCCTGGTGGGCTGAGCTGGCCACACACACACACACACACACACACACAAATAAAAATAAAGAAACCAGAGAATATATAACCACTCTGCCATTCCTGCATAATTTTACTCATTGAGTGGGTGTGAGGTATTTTAAAAAACTGAAAAAAACCAGGCTTATTTATTTATTTATTATTTATTTTGCAGAGCTGGGGATTGAACTCAGGCTCTTATGCTTGCCAGGCAAGTGCTTATTCAACTGAGCTATCTCCCCAGCCCCTAGAAGGCTTTTTAAAAAAATGTATTTAGTACAGGGTCTCACTACACTGACTGGACTCGGAGTAATCCTCCGGTTTACAGCCTCACAAGCACTGGGATTACAGGCATGTGCCATCATGCCCAGTCTCATATGCCCTTTCAACTTGCCCCGGAGGGCGGGGCAGGCACAGCAGGCGTCTGCCTAAACAGGTGCTTTAATCCCGAGCTGTCTGGGCCAGCCCTTCAATAGGAGGCTTTTGAAATAAAGACTACAAATGGTATAATATTCTATACCAAGACAAAAGTTTGATAAAGGAGCATAAAAATGAAATGTGTTATTTTTTAAGAGTTATGTCTACAAAAAGGTTGAAAATTAAAAGAAGATATCTAGGAACAGTTAAATATGTTTGAAAACATTAAGACTGCTATGGCATTTTTGGCAGAATTTTAGAATCAGTCTTTCAATTTTCACAAAAATAAACCTGCTGGGATTTTACTGATTATTTTGTCTTTTGAGACAGCGTCTTGCCATGCAGTTCAGGCTGGCCTTGAGCTCATTTTGTAGTCCAGTGAGCTTGAACTTGCAACGATCCTCATGTCTCAGTTTCCCAAGCACTGGAATGATAGGTGTGCATCACCATACCCGACTGGGATTGCAGATCAATTTGAAAAAAACCTAGCATCTTACAGTCCTTTCCTATCCATGGAGATGAGACATACCTCCATTTATATAGTCTTAATTTCTCTCCAGCAGGTTTTTTCGATGCAGAGATTTTGTAAACTGCTGTATCTATGTCTAGCTGCTTAAATTTATTATACAGTATGTTTTCTTTTTATTTTTTTAATTTAAAACAATAAAAATGATACAGAATTTCGAGGCAGGATAAGAAATTAACAATGGTCAATGTATTCCATATTGTCTCCAAAATGGTCAGATTACAAGATGTAGGCAAGCAAAATTATGATTTGTATTCTCTGGGTTTTAGCTTTCATGCTATTACACTATGTTTTTGAAGCCTCATTTTTCTATTTAGTTTTATATGTGGGCATGTAATTGATTTTCTTTGGTATTCTGTGACTATGCTAAATTCACTTATTAATCCTATATTTATAGTCACTTTTGGATTATCTTTGTACACAATCACACTGTCAACAACACAATAGTTTTCTTTACAATAATTTCATTTTTTTGGTTTATGACACTGACTGGGAAGTAATAAAGAGATTTGATAGTGGACATCTGTTTTACTGATCTCATAAAGATTTCAGTATTTTATTAGGGTTTTGTTGATCCTTTTTATTAAAGTCATGCGCTTCTTTTTGCCTTTTTGATACAGAGATTCTGTTGTGCACTTCAGGCTGGTCTTGAACTGGCAGCAATCCTCCTACCTCTGCTTCAGTGCTGGAGTGCTACAGGCATGCACCACCATACCCGGCTTTATTCCTGGTTCTCAAAATTTTCTCCTTTCTTTTTGAAGTGTTGCTGGGATTGAACCCATGGCCTTGTATATGTCAAATTCACATGCTACCAGTGAAATATAACCCCCTCTTAAAAAAATCATCTTGGGAATTATATTCTAATCTTTCTCTGCATCTATCTAAATGATTGTGATTTTTTTCTTCTTTGCTTATCTTTGAGATGG